AAAGGGTCTATCCAACAAGAAGATCTAACAATTGTAAATAACTATGCTCCTAACATGGGAGCAGCCAATTATGTAAGCAAATTAATAACAAAAGCAAAGAAACACATCAACAACAATACAGTAATAGTGGGGGACTTTAACACCCCCCTCACTGAAATGGACAGATCATCTAAGCAAAAGATCAATACGGAAATAAAGACTTCAAATGACACACTGGACCAAATGGACTTCACAGACATATTCAGAACATTCCATCCCAAAGCAACAGAATACACATTCTTCTCTAGTGCCCATGGAACATTCTCCAGAATAGATCACATCCTAGGTCATAAATCAGGTCTCAACCTGTACCAAAAGATTGGGACCATTCCCTGCTTATTTTCATACCACAATGCTTTGAAACTAGAAATTGATCACAAGAGGAAAGTCGGAAAGAACTCAAATACATGGAGGCTAAAGAGCATCCTACTAAAGAATGAATGGGTCAACCAGGAAATTAATGAAGAATTAAAAAAATACATGGAAACCAATGAAAATGAAAACACAACTGTTCAAAATCTTTGGGATGCAGCAAAGGCGGTCCTAAGAGGAAAGTATATAGCAATACAAGCCTTTCTCAAGAAACAAGAAAGGTCTCAAATACACAACCTAACCCTACATCTAAAGCAGCTGGAGAAAGAACAGCAAATAAAGCTTAAACCCAGCAGAAGAGAAATAATAAAGATCAGAGCAGAAATCAATGAAATAGAAACCAAAAGAACAGTAGAACAGGTCAACAAAACTAGGAGCTGGTTCTTTGAAAGAATTAACAAGATTGGTAAACCCCTGGCCAGACTTATCAAAAAGAAAAGAGAAAGGACCCAAATAAATAAAATCATGAATGAAAGAGGAGAGATCACAACCAACACCAAAGAAATACAAACAATTATAAGAACATACTATGAGCAACTCTATGCCAGCAAATTCGATAATCTGGAAGAAATGGATGCATTCCTAGAGATGCATCACCTACCAAAACTGAACCAGGAAGAAATAGAAAACCTGAACAGACCTATAACCACAAAGGAAATTGAGGCAGTAATCAAAAATCTCCCAACAAACAAAAGTCCAGGGCCAGATGACTTCCCAGGGGAATTCTACCAAACATTTAAAGAAGACTTAATACCTATTCTTCTGAAACTGTTCCAAAAAATAGAATTGAAGGGAAAACTTCCAAACTCGTTTTATGACGCCACCATTACCTTGATCCCCAAACCAAAGACCCCATCTAAAAGGAGAATTACAGACCAATATCTTGATGAACATGGATGCAAAAATTCTCACCAAAATACCAGCCAATAGGATCCAACAGTACATTAAAAGGATTATTCACCACGACCAAGTGGGATTTATCCCTGTGCTGCAAGGTTGGTTCAGCAACTGCAAATCAATGTGATACAATACATTAATAAAAGAAAGAACAAGAACCATATGATCCTCTCTATACATGCAGAAAAAGCATTTGACAAAGTACAGCATCCTTTCTTGATCAAAACTCTTCAGAGTATAGGGATAGAGGGTACATAACTCAGTATCATAAAAGCCATCTATGAAAAACCCACAGCAAATATCATTCTCAATAGGGAAAAACTGAGCGCTTTTCCCCTAAGGTCAGGAACACAGCAGGGATGTCCACTACCACCACTGCTATTCCACATAGTATTAGAAGTCCTAGCCACAGCAATCAGACAACAAAAAGAAATAAAAGGCATCCAAATCGGCAAAGAAAAAGTCAAACTCTCACTCTTTGCAGATGATATGACACTTTATGTGGAAAATCCAAAAGACTCCACCCCAAAACTGCTAGAACTCATAGACGAATTCAGTAAAGTGGTAGGATATAAAATCAATGCACAGAAGGCAGTGGCATTCTTATACACCAACAACAAGACAGAAGAAAGAGAAATTAAGAAGTCAATCCCATTTACAATTGCACCCAAAACCATAAGATACCTAGGAATAAATCTAACCAAAGAGGCAAAAATCTGTCCTCAGAAAACTATAAAATACTCATGAAAGAATTTGAGGAAGACAAAAACAAATGGAGAAACGTTCCATGCTCATAGATTGGAAAAACTAGTATTGTGAAGATGTCAATGCTACCTAGAGCAATCTACACATTCAATGCATTCCCTATCAAAATACCATCAACTTTTTTCAACGAAATGGAACAAATCATCCTAAAATTTGTATGGAACCAGAAAAGACCCCACATAGCCAGAGGAATGTTGAAAAAGAAAAGCAAAGCTGGTGGCATCACAATTCCGGACTTCCAGTTCTGTTACAAAGCTGTCATCATCAAGACAGTATGGTACTGGCACAAAAACAGACACATAGATCAATGGAACAGAATAGAGAGCCCAGAAATGGACCCTCAACTCTATCGTCAACTCATCTTTGACAAAGCAGGAATGAATGTCCCGTGGAAAAAAGATAGTCTCTTCAACAAATGGTGTTGGGCAAATTGGACAGCCACATGCAGAACAATGAAACTGGACCATTTCCTTACATCACACACAAAAATAGACTCGAAATGGTTGAAAGACCTCAATGTGAGACAGGAGTCCATCAAAATCCTAAAGGAGAACACAGGCAGCAAGCTCTTCGACCTCAGCCACAGCAACTTCTTCCTAGAAACATCGCCAAAGGCAAGGGAAGCAAGGGCAAAAATGAACTATTGGGACTTCATCAAGATAAAAAGCTTTTGCATAGTAAAAGAAACAGTCAACAAAACCAAAAGACAACCGACAGCATGGGAGAAGATATTTGCAAGTGACATATCAGAAAAAGGGCTAGTATCCAAAATCTATGAAGAACTTATCAAACTCAACATCCAAAGAACAAAGAATCCAATCAAGAAATGGGCAGAAGACATGAACAGACACTTCTCCAAAGAAGACATCCAAATGGCCAACAGACAGATGAAAAAGTGCTCAACATTGCTTGGCATCAGGGAAATGCAAATCAAACCTCAGTGAGATACCACCTCACACCAGTCAGAATGGCTAAAATTAACAAGTCAGGAAACGACAGATGTTGGTGGGGATGTGGAGAAAGGGGAACCCTCCTACACTGTTGGTGGGAATGCAAGCTGGTATAGCCACTCTGGAAAACAGTATGGAGGTTCCTCAAAAAGTTGAAAATAGAGCTACCCTATGACTCAGCAATTGCACTACTGGGTATTTACCCCAAAGATACAAATGTGGGGATCCGAAGGGGTACGTGCACCCCGATGTTTATAGCAGCAATGTCCACAATATCCAAACTATAGAAAGAGCCAAGATGTCCATCAACAGATGAATGGATAAAGAAGATGTGGTATCTATACACAATGGAATATTATTTAGCCATCAAAAGGAATGAAATCTTGCCATTTGCAATGACGTGGATGTAACTGGAGCGTATTATGCTGGGCGAAATAAGTCAATCAGGGAAAGACATGTATCATATGACCTCACTGATAGGAGGAATTCTTAATCTCAGGAAACAAACTCAGGGTTTTTGGAGTGGTGGGGGATGGGAGGTAGGGTGGCTGGGTGATAGACATTGGGGAGGGTATGTACTATGGTGAGTGCTGTGAATTCTGTAAGACTGTTGAGTCACAGACTTGTACCTCTGAAACAAATCATACATTGTACGTTAAAAAAAAAAATAAGAAGGCGATAGAAGGAAGGGAAAAATGAATGGGAGGAAATTGGAGGGGGAAATGAACCATGAGAGACTATGGACTCTGAGAAACAAACTGAGGGTTCTAGAGGGGAGAGGGGTGGTGGGATGGATTAGCCTGGTGATGGGTATTAAAGAGGGCACGTAGTGAATGGAGCACTGGGTGTTAATCGCAAACAATGAATAATGGAACACTACATCAAAAACTAATGATGTAATGTATGGTGATTATCATAACATAAAAAAAATGCCTATTAAAAAAAAAAACCACAATGAGATAACCAATTTACCCCAGCTAGAATGGCTAAAATTAACAAGACAGGGAATAACAAATGTTGGTGAGGATGTGGAGAAAGGGGAACCCTCTTACACTTTGGGTGAGTATGCAAGATGGTACAGTCACTCTGGGAAACAGTGTGGAGGTTCCTCAAAAAATTAAAAATAGAGTACCCTATGGCCCAGCAATTGCACTACTGAGTATTTGCCCCAAAGATACAGATGTTGTGAAAAGAAGGGGCATATGTACTCCAAAGTTCATAGCAGCGATGTCCACAATAACCAAACTGTGGAAGGAGTGGAGATATCCTTCAACATATGAATGGTTAAAGAAGTTGTGGTTCCTATATACAATGGAATATTACTCAATCATCAGAAAAGATGAATACCCACCATTTGCATCAACATGGTTGGAACTGGAGGGGATTATGCTAAGTGAAAATAGTCATGAAGAGAAAGACAATTATCATATGATTTCACTCATATGTGGAATATAAGGAATAGCACAAAGGACCACAGGGGAAGGCTGGGAATACTGAATAGCAAGACATCAGAGAGGGAGGCAAACCATGAGAAACTCTGGACTCTGGGAAACAAACTGAGGGTTACAGAAGGGAGGGGAGTGGGGGAATGGTGTGGTGATGAGCACTGGGTGTTATATGCAACTAATGAATTGTTGAACACTACCTCAAAAACTAATGATGTTGGTCTATTGAACATGATAATAAGAAAAATGCAGCACAAGTTTTTTAAGCCCATTTTGACATTCCTTCATTTTTTAAATATACTGTTATCCTCCAGGCATGGAAGGGGCCCAGGCCTCTTGGGCCTTTGGGAGAAAATGGTCTGCGTCTTATAGGCGAGGAGGTAGTCTTTCCTCAGGCTCTCATGTCTGGTGAGTGGCTGACCCCTTTGCCAGCTGCTTTTCAAAGTGAAGTCAGCAGAATTTGTGGGACTATTTTTAGTAACCAGCTCAGTGACCTTAGGCCCTCCTTCTGAGGTCTGGGGCCTTGAGGTGTCTTCCCAGCAGCCTGGGTGTTGTTTCTAAGGGTCCTGGGTGTTGTTTCTAAGGGTCCTGTAAGCCCTGAGGTGGCAACTTCTGAATGTGCTATCCTCCTTTGTGGGGCTATTCCATCCTCCATCCCCAGGCTGGCAAGATCCTGGATGTGGGCCTAGTTGCTCCCGACATTTCGACCTGGAGGTTGAATCAGCAGCTTCACTGAGGCCAACCCTGAGTCCATGCCCCTACCCGGGTGCTGTAAGTCCCCCTGCATGAATCTTAACAAAGACAAGAAGTCTGTCCCCAGATGTTAAGTAATTTGGGGGGTGGAGAAGACTCCTAGGTCTGCTGTGGGGAGGTTTTCTAACAGAGGCATGATCATCCCTTGCATTGTAAAGCCAGCACTGCCAGACAAACCTTGGTAGGCAAGCCTCAGTTTCCTCATTGGAAAGTGGGAACGGTAATGCATGTTCTGCCTGCCCCCCAGGTCTGTCACAATGATTCTGTGACATCATGGATGTGAATGTGTGTTGGAAAGTCCCAGTGAAGTGCAAGGTACTATTTCCATTACAGCATGAACAGTTTTGTTCATGGTTATGCTTTTGCAAATTGCAGGAGGGGTCCAAGTAACGGCGCTGTCTTCCTTCCTGGCAGCTTTCGGTGCAAGGGCGGTGGTCTGGGCCCAGTGCAGAGGGAACTGCTGCATTCTTGTCCCACCTCGAGTCCCATGTGGTTCTTCCTGCTGTCACTGAGTCTCTATCAGTTCCCTGCTGAGCTCTGGGATGGGGTCACTGATTTGGCAGGACGAACAATAGCAATGGCCCACTTCTCCCCATGTGAGTGAAGCACAGGGATGGCCTTTGGGTGTGGGTGGACCTGCTGGGGTTGTGGGCACCACACCAGCCCCGGATTATTCAGCATGCCAAGTGGGGAACAGAGAGGGGCAGGCCCTGAGTGATCTTGAAATATCTTCATCATCATCACAGACCAAATGTCTTTCCTTGGAATTTTACTGCTTCCTGTGTAAATATGACATCATAAATTTAATATCAAAGAGCAGCTAATTTATGGAGCAGTCATCTTTGAACCGGGACACTAGGTGAATCAGAGCATCTCCCTTATAAAGCACTCATTTGTTCATGCATTCATTCACTTGTTCACTTGTTTGAGAGAGGCAGTCTGGTTGATGGAATGGAAGGGCATCTTTAAATTCCTTTGGAACAGAGTTTGAATCCCAGCTCTCTCACTCAAGGCTGTGACCTTGAGCAAGTGGAGTAACTCTCCGGGAGCTCAGTTTGCTCATCCATAAAGAAGGCAGGTGACATTCCCTTCCCTGGTTTGCTCTGAGGGTTAGCACTGATATGCAGACAGCAATCTGCACCCAGAGTAAGTGGCTAAGAATCAGACTTCTGCTCTCCAGCACTGCAACTTTTCATTTATCCTGCAATCAGCAAATGTCTTTCCAGTGCTGCAGATGTCCCTGCTTCTGGCCCCCTCAGGTTCCCCCTCCAGTCCCAGACACACCTGCCTGACTTCTTAATGTAGGCCAGCAGTAGTGCCCAGGAAGGCTTTCTCTGCCTGTGGGCGCCACTTGGCCCACCTTGTCTGACAGTTCATCAGGCCTGAAGGGCCAGCACACTATTGTGCCCTGGAAGTAGCCCTCACGTAAAGATTGGGGGGAGTTAGGATTTGCACACCCTTCAAGATATGTCTGAGGTTCCCAGAGGTCCAGGCAGGACTGAGCTCCAGATGCCCGCAGTGGTAACTTGCTTGGTAATGAAATTTTCTTGGCTGCCCTCCATTCCCTGCCTCACCTCCCCCTCTTCTCCTACCAATGTTTTCTGGGATCATCTCCCAGATAAACTACTTGTACTTGAATCCTCATCTCAAGGTCACTTCTGGGGGCTGAGAGGGGGCAATTTAAAGCAAGCATCTAATAGGTACTAGCGGATATGTTCAGAGATGAACAGAGCCTCCTCCCTTGGGGAATTCACAGTCTAAGAAGCAAAAATATCCAACCTGATATAGCACAACGACATAGTTAAGAGGTGTTGGGGGTTGGGAGAAAAGAGGTTGAGGGGCATGTACTTGAATTTCCCAGGGGAGGACAAGCCTGAGCAGAGGCTAAGGGAGCCATCGCAGAGGGCAGCCTCTACAGGGACAGGACTGGGCAGGAGGCCGACCCCGCTGCAAGGTGTGGTCTCTGAAGGGGAGGCCAAGTGGCAGCACAGGGCAGGTGGGCTTGTTGTGAGAAGAGGGTGAGGGCCCTACACTCCGAAGTCATTTTGTGGGGTCAGTTTGCGGGGCAGGGCCACACCCCTCCACTCTGGGCAGAGGGGCAGTCAGGGCTTGGCCAGCCCATCACATGGGCCTCTGAGACTGTGGGGGGCTGGGCAGACCTTGAAATGGGGCTGCTGCCACCAAGATGAAGGCCATTTGGGGAAGACAAGGACTGGCTGGGAACGAAGGATGGATGCTGTAGTGGCAGAATGACAGCAGGAAGCTGGGACAGACATGAGGAAAGCTGTGGGTAGGGTAAAGCCCAACTTGTGCCCCAAACCTCCTTCAGTGATCCATCCACATGCCTGGAATCAGCCCCCTGCTTGGGATTTGTCCTGTCAGAACTTCAATAGTAACAATAAACATAGTAGCAGGAAACATGGGTTGAGCCCTCACTATCTGAGGGCTGAGGACTTTACATGGATGGCTTCCTGTCAACCTCAACCCTTTGAGGTAGGCACTAATATTAATACCACTTTGCAGATAAGAAAACTGAGGTTCATATCTTTCCTAAACTCAGCTCGGGCTTCCACAACAAAGTACTACAGACCAGGTGGCATGAAAAACAGAAATTTATTTCTCAGAGGTCTGGGGCTTGAAATCCAAGCTAAAGATGCCAACAGGATTGGTTTCTGGTGAGACTTCTCTTCCTGGGTTGTAGATGGCCACAATCTTGCTGGGTCTTCACATGGCCTCTTCTCTGTGGGCATGGGAGAGATAGGAAGAGAGAGAGAGAAAGAGAGAGATGAGAGATGAAAGACAGAGAGAGAGAGAGGAAAAAAGAGATGTGAGATGAAAGATACAGAGAGAGAGAGGGAGATGAGAGATGAAAGACAGACACACACACAGGGTGGGGGGCTCTTGAGTCTCTTCCCCCAGTTGTTGGGACACGAGTCCTATCTGCTCAGGGTTCCACCCATAAGCCCTCATTTAATCTTTATTGCATCCCTATAGGCCCTATCTCCAAGTACAGTCACACTGGGGATTAGGGCTTTAATATACAAATTTGTTGGGGGGGGAAGACATAATTTAGCCCATAATATCCCCTAACATTGTATAAAACTTTATCATTTACAAATGTCATTTCTTAAATGGTGAGGTCTATATATCTTAAATTTCCATCCCAAGACTACAGTTTGGCATAGTAGCTCTTTGCAAAAGCTACTCACTGCTTAAAATTCAGACAGGCCTGTGGACTCCCAAGGCAGCATTCTGGGTGGGCACTTACAAATGCTGTAAGTGAGGGGAAGAGAATGGGGCAAGAGCCAGGACCTAGTGCACACCACCTGCCACTTACCAAGGCCCTTAGGAATGGGTTCTGTTTCTTAGCATGGCGATTGTCCTTTGGAGCTTAGCTGGGGCTGCCCTCTTCACAAGAGAACTATATTCTCCCCATGGTTTCTTTACTAGAGGTCAACTGTTAGTTGACATTTATCATTACACTTTTGTTGGTTTATTCTTCTTGCAGTGGAGTTAAGTAGGAAATAAAATGTTTCTTATACCCATATTGAAACAAGATAAGCCCACCTAAAAAATTACAGAACCCACGGCAAGATTACAAGTGGGGGCCCACAAACCATATGTTTAAGTACATATGCAAATAAAACATGGCCGGGGTGCCTGGGTGGCTCCGTTAGTCAGTTAAGCATCTGCCTTGGCCTCAGGTCATGATCTCAGGGTCCTGGGATCGAGCCCCACATCAGACTCTGCTCACCGGGGAGTCAGCTCCCTCTCCCTCTCCCTCTGTGCGTGCTCGCTTTCTCTCTTTCAAATAAATAAATAAAATCTTAAAACAAAAACAACAAACATGGCTGTAAAATAGAGTTCATTCTATTTTCTGGCCTTGACAAATGTACCTCCATAGCAACTTGGGAGGCCGGGTTCAAATGTAGAATTCTTGGGCTCCTGTGTAAAGATACAGGGCCTGCCCCCCCACCTGTTCATTCTCTGGGACACTGATCCAGGTATACATCCTAGAAGTGGGCTTAGGGTCATTCAGAATTCCCAGGTCCTGGGGAGTTGGAGCATGGTCTAGAAAGTTTAGGGCAGGATTACTGGCTACCAGTGGACATAACCCCTCTTTCTGTCAGGAGGGCAGGAGGTGCCAGAGGATGGTTAGTCCCCTGAAGCCTAGGTGCATAAGGAGGTGTGCAGGCAGTACGCAAATGTGGAAGACTGCACATTTGCTGAAAAACAGGGTGTGCATGTGGGTATCTGTAAACTTGTAAATATTTTTGTCTTTAATATGCAGAGTTGTCTTTTACTGAAATAATATCATGTAGTATTAAATCTTGTTAAATATCTAGCTTTCACTTGCCCTTGCATTTCCACCGCTGTTTTGGACTTTCTTCTGGTTGGACTCATGTTGAATTTTGCCTGAGGCTCTCTCCCTCCAAAATCTCTCATCCCTCTTTAGATCTTGGTTAGAAGAGGCCCACAGTCAAGACATTTTTGAGTCAATCAGGGAAAACAGAACCAGACTGGGTATTGCTAACTTTGTTAGGTGTGTTACTGGTATTATGGGAATGCTTGAAAAAACAAACATTTATAGATTAGATAAGATACTCAAGTATTTAAAGGTGAAATATGTCTGCTGGAATGCTTTAAAATTGCTCCAGGAAAAAAAAACAACAACCCAGATGTGTGGGGGGGGGGACGGATATAGATGGGGGCGGGGAGGCAAGGTGCAGGCTATGATGGAAGCTGGTCTATGGATGTGTGGGACAATTCCACTGTTCTACTTTTGCATGTGTGCACATTTCTACAATTAAGAAGTTAACCACAAGAACAAAACGCTATTCCTGGAGACTTGACGGAGCACTGGCTGCCAGCGAAGCATTTGTGCCTTAGGAATGGCCCGTCTTCACACCCCCTTTAAAGACGGGATCCTCAAGCCCCCTCTCCTCCCTGGAGGTTTTAGAGCCCGAGATTCGGTTTCCTTTGTAAACCAGGCCTCAGATGATTCACTACAACACAGG